TTTCCTGTAATAGAAGATGCTGAGAAACTTGATTAGCCTATGCAAGGAATATCAAAGAGACAAAAGACTAACAGCAATCACTCAAGATGAGAAATGAAGAACCAAATGAAATGCCAATACCATTCCAAACCCAAAAGGCACATAAAGGAACTACAGTGAGCTACCATTAGACACAAGATACATAGATCTAATCAGCTGGTTTTTGGTCATTAGCTATCAGCCTTGCCTGTGGTTGTTTTTTTCTATCTATTTATTCATTATTTTATTTTATTTATTTCGGACTGCTCAAATTTTCTTAATCAAGAATGGGGTTCCAAATACATAAAAATTCCTAATTTGAAAACAATTAAGCATTTGGCTTTGGGTGAACTTGTTTGCTTCTGATTTCTAGTAAGGAGGTAAGAGGGAAACAAAATGATAGAAAAAAGAGGTAGAGGAGATAATGGAAATTGAAAATGCATGGAGAGCAAGGAAAACTACATGACAGTAGAGAGGGAAAGTTTATTTAAGTAAGGTGTCATGAGGAAAGAACGCTCAGAAAGGAATCATAAGAATTTCCAGGGGAAGAAGAACTCCACCATCTCATGGCCACTGCAGCCAAGGCTGCCTTTGATCTTCACATCCCCAGCGAGCCCCTCCCTTGTTGGTGAGTATGGAGTACAGAAAGCACTTCTCCTTGTTGGCTCCTCTATGACCTGGAGGAGGAAGTTCTCATCAATGCACTCCAGAAACCTCCTGGATTGCTTGTCCTGCTGTGTCGTCCCACCACTAATTTATGTAGCAACTTTGATGATGTAACACAAAAACATAAAGTAATTGAAACTTAACTTTGAAGAATAAGACTGTGATAAGAACAGTATTTGTGTGTCTAAGACAGGAGTTTCAGTTCCCCCAAATCCGAGAAGTCTTTTATTATGGATTTTCTTTTCTTTAATTTATCATTCACATAGTTGAGAGAAGGTATCAAAACTCACATATCACTCAAGTATAATATTCAGTATGCTTTTTGTGAAAAAATACCCATAAGCAGCAAAGAATTCATCAAAACCTCTGAATAATTATGACAAAATAATTCAGTGTTCTTTAAAAGTGGTCACTTTTTTTCTTTCAAGCTAATAAGCTTAATAGATACTACAGAAGTGTGGAAAGTTTGATTAAAAAGTTTAAGCATTTCAGTTTTACATCCGCATTATGCTTTAGACTAAAACTTTAAACATCAAAGCTATAAATTATATTCAAAGAAGTTGTTTGATGTTATACCTACAATGTATAACAGAGCTCAAAGCAATTTTACCACCAAAATGTTTAGCAAAGTCAATTTAAATCACTTGCAAAAAGTGATTTCTCTAAAATTTGAAAAGTGCAAACATGCACGAAAATGCTGTTCATTCTGCTATAAGTAAAACTGTCAGCAAAAATATATGCTCCTTCCAGGTTTTCAAAAAAAACTGATTCTAAAAAGTGCCATAAGTTAAAATGAACATGTTAAAGTCTTACAGTAAGTGGTGTGACTCAGTGTTCATTTGGGGGAAAGTAAAACCATAATTCAAGTATTTTGAGGTAGAAATTAGGACAGACCTGCTAATGCATTAGGATATTCCTGTTTCGAGAATGTATTTGGATAGGTATATATGTAGAGCACACAAATATGGATCTCAAAACATTCTTTTCTGGCATAGTTGTAGGCTCAAGTAGGTAGATGAACACTAATTCTCTAAAAGACAGAAAAGAATTAAAAAAAAAAAAATTGTCCGTTTTTCTATTATCTGCCATCTAAGCAAAACAACCGTCATACACTCCAACAAAACAAGAGAGATGCTTTTTCTATAAGACAGGATAACAAGCCCTGCGAAATGTAAAAGGCACTACATCATACATCGTGACCTGCACAGGAATAATGACATTGTCTCATATACAAGCTAGTGAAGCATGATGAAGTATGATGCAGATGAAACTATAGGTACACATCGTTATTAATTGAAAAGGCTGAAGTAGTATTCAAAGGAATTTATCACTGTTCTCTCTTAGAAGTGATACAAGAAATGACTGTTTCAGGTCATACCAAAAATTCAGCTACTTCAGCACACTGTCTCCCACAGTGGCCAAAAGGGACAGTACAGAAACTGGGAAAACGTCAATGATGTTTGCCAGCACAGCCCCTCGTCACTACGGCCCCCAGTCTCATCTAGTGACTATTAATCGGCAATGGATTTTTCTTTGAATTACTCATCTGGTCACTTCATGAATCCCTCCACTACAAATGAAGAAAAACTAGTCAATATTTCTGACGTCTTACACCAGCACACAAATTGCATGACTGATTTCAGTAATTACTGCAGTGGTGTAATTGACGTAAGCATATTTTAGACTGATGATGTCTACATTTTTTTGTGTGTGTGTTTTGTTTTTCTTTTTTTTTTTTTCAAGAACTGAACAATTATTCTTACCTCCTGTGTGCATGAATTTTGAATGAGTATGATGTTACTACAGATATCAGTGAAAAATACGTTCTAAAACCACTTTGAGAAGGGCTGGAGAGGAGCTTAATGTTTCATACAGAACCATCAAAGTCAGAAGGACATTCTCCAGGGATAGGCTGAATATCTTGGACTTAGCTCCTGCTCCAGGGACTTTTATGAATTTGTATCAAAAACATAAAACAGAACTATGAGCAGGGAATAGAACCAAAGAAATGTTATCAAATATTTTTTCTTTGCAAAATATCATTAAAATATTATTAGATATGATATTTTTACACTTAAAAAATCTACAATAGTATTTTCCCTTTTCCTACACTCCAGTGAAATACTCCTGAAATCAGAAAATTTATGTTCTTTTAGTCATCAAATATAAATTCCAGTAATTTCATAATTAGTTATGGTTGTATACTGCCAACTTCATAGACCTATGCTTGCAGGCTCAGATGCTACGGTATAACATTTCGGTGTAATTTTTAAAACTAGCCCTCTTATTATTTGTTTCCGTATTAAAAAGGTAAAACAGTTGTACAAAACCTCCTGTTTCTTTGTCCCCGAGCTCTCTGGGAGTCTTGCAATTCAAAATATTTTTGTCTGGAATTGTTTTCTACTGCATAATTCTAAATATTTCTACGAGTAGTTTTGTTCTCTGTTTTAACTGTGGGTTTTTTTTTTAGTGAACTATGAATTGTCCCTCTCTTCAACTACTTTCTTTTAAAGATTCCTAGTGGTCTCCGTTACTGCCTTTCTTATCAACTTAGAATAAATAAGGTCTTTAGAAAGGTGGTGATACAGTTAATTTCGAGATTTGTGTTTTGTTTTTCTTCTGAACTGTTTCACTTAAGGAATGGTTACAAATGAGTAGCTTCAATTCCAGATGAATTAAACTCCAACTTGGTAGGTAAAGCAAACCTTGAAATCCTGGAAGATTAAAGCACCCTAGAGAGCTATTTTTCAAATGAGTGTTGAAGCAAGATACTGCTATATTACAATAAACACACTAAAGGTAGGATTCAGTACCCAAGACATAATTGCCTCAAATTTTATATTCCTTAAGTTACCCGCACAGGCCTGATAATACAAAAGGAAAGGATCTATGGGAGATTTGTGTCCAAATGAAGCAGAAACAGGACGCGAAGCTGAATAATGTAGGGCAGATAAAATGCCTTGTACACATCTATTTCGGACAACTAAACCCTACCTTACAAGTCTCACAATACTTTGCATTAAAAAAATGACTGACTCTTGCAATCTAACATGAAGACAATGACCATCAAGGTCACTGCTAAAAGCAAAGATGTTTTACTTTAAAGACACCTAAGGAAAACAAGGTTATCAAAACCATTTAAGAAAGAAAACACATCAAACATGTTAAGCTTTAGTGCCCCTGAGGGGGTCTAAACTTTAGAAAGCCTACTCTCCATTAAAAAAAAATAATCTTTCCAAGTTTAGCTGCTTCTAAGGAATCATTACTTCTGTTGTTCTCTATACAGGAAGTTTACACTCTCTGTACTGGATTACAGCAGATATACATTTTATTCTGTTCTCAGAGGAGCTGAAATCAGATGATTCAGAGAGCCTTAACAAGGTTAGCATAGCCTTACCAAGAAAAAAGTGGCTTGAAAGCTAAAAGGCTTTAAACATTTAACGTGCTACAAAAAGAGGCATAAGAATACCAATTGTGTTTATTTTTAATTTGTTACAGATTATTTGTATTGACATACTTTTGCTCTGCATGACAGAAAAGTAAAAGAATGGCGCTCTATCCTCTCCTTACCATTATTTATTTATCTTAATTCCATCCTTTTTATTCATCTCTAAATTCTACATTTTATTTTTCTTGTAAATGCACATCTCAGCATTAAGACCTATCTTATTTATTGCCTAAGTCTAAATCCTTCCCTTGCACAACATTTAAGAAAAAAACTCCACATATTATTCTTTTCTTCTTTTGCTATTTCAAATCTTGGTATTTAGAATGTACCACTAAAGCATGGTGGAAAAAAAAAAAAGGATCAATTACGCTAAAGTAGAAATTACATCGTATTTTTCTAGCAGTGCTGAAAGTTTTATGTAGGTTTAAGACACTACTCTTAATTTAAAAAAAAAAATATTCTCCTAGGAAAACTCCCAATTAAAAATCAGCATTTCTGCTAAGAAAATACTTTCAATTTTGTTTATGTTACAATATTAACTTGATCATTATTTGTTTGAAAATGTTTTAATTTTGCTGTTACATGTATTTTGTTGTTACTTGTTACTTAAATTAAGTAAACGAATTGTAAGTAAAGAAATAGCTCTGTAATAAATGATGCATCCTAGGAGTCTGATAGTTGATATAACACAGAAGAGAATGTAGGAGAAAAGAATTTTTCTTCATTCTTAGTACAGAATAGCTATAAAAGAAATTGTAAACTGCCTAAGCATTTTGATTTCACTGTCTAAGCATTTCTCCTTTTTCAATGAAATTTATCGATTCTTGACCAAAATAAAACTCTTCTGAAGACTTTTTTTGACTCTTACCTGACGTAAAGTACGTGCTACTATACTTTCAAGTACTGGTCCTCTGTCTTCATGCAACAGATGAACTTCATCCAGAATCAAGAGTTTAACCAGCTGAGAGAGGGCTACATCTCCAACGCTTTTTCTTGTCACTACATCCCATTTCTCTGGCGTAGTCACAAGCATCTAGTAGAGCAGAAGAAAGAAACATGAAGCATTCACAAAGAAAAATCCAGATTCAAATTTATAAACCCTCAGTATTTTAATATACAGCAGAGTAAATGAAACGTAGAATTTTTAACTAAATTGCCAGCTTTTTCTTCCCAAACATCTGGATTTGTTTCTTCTCACAGAGTTTGATTCCAAGGTAATTTTAATACAAATTTTAGAACCAAGCGACAAATATCTTAAACCAATATTACATCCCTATTTTTCCTCTCAATAAATATTTTTCTGTAATTCCACTTAAAGATAAAAAGAACAAAGAGTAATAAATAGATTTTAACATTTAGTATTTGATGAATCCATGCTTTACACCAGAAATAATAATAGTCTACAATCAGACAAGAAAACATGCATCTGATCCCTATCAGTTCTTTCATAATTGTTAATAATAAGCATGCTTTCTCTTCACTTTAGACGTTAAGAAATAAAATACTAAGACAACATACAATTCAGCCTTATAGATGATAATGCTTCTACAGCAAACATAATAATAGTAAGTCCTTATAAAACTTACACACCACACAAATGTTTTCATCTAGTCAGCATTTCCTATATGCTAAGCAGCCATGGTAGAATAATAAAACCCCCACAAATTAAAAGAGTTGACCAGATACTATCAGTATCTGATCTCAAATTTGACCAGATAACATAAACCCAACAGAATATGCAATTCATGACATTTTCTTCTCAAACAAAATTTTATTATCTGTGAAAACACAATGCACAAATACAAATGCCTTTTCCCCATATGAGAGATGCTCCAGCCCCTTCATCATCTTCATGGCCCTTCAGTGGACTCTCTCCAGTATGTCCATGTCTCTCTTCTACTGGGGAGCCCAGAACTACACACAGTACTCCACAGATAGCCTCAGCAGTGCTGAGGGGACAGACCACCTCCCTCAATCTGCTGGCAATACTTTGTCTAACGCAGTAAAGGCATTCTCGTCAGAGAAATATTTTTCCCCGCACTGCCTCACAGTATTGTTCCAGTCCAATTTTTTAGCATCAGAATGTATCTTTACTAATTACCAAGAAATACTTCTGAAGAGACTTTCTAATATTACAGAAAAGGATGTTCTTGTCCTGCAATATTTAAAACTTAACACTTGAAAGACTCTCTGAGTCACTAATATCACTGAGAAAGTGGTTGTGTGTGTGGGGTGTCTCTCTGTTTTGTTAAAATATTACTGGGTGCGTTTTGCTAGCAAATATAGATTTTTCAAATGCTTGTACTCCTACAAAATAGTAGGTGTAAAAAGTATGACGGTAATTTATGAACTGAATTGTAACACTACTACAGATGCAACTGTTATCACTTTAAAATGAGCCATGTCAACCACAAAAAATTAGTAGCTGTACTTCCACAGAACATTAATTAGCAAACAGTGAGGAAATATATTTAGCAATGCGTATTAAGACTTTAAGGTGTGAAATACTACAAATGCAAGCTACTTGGCTAATTTGCTAAATCTAAATTGGTAATGTTCAGATCGCAGGTTTTTTAATGTCAGTTGTGTTATCAAGATACATATTTAAAACGATATCATTAATTTTTCTATTTCTAAGTGATAACTAAATATTCATTATAATGGTCTTCTACTTTGATCTTATTTTAAAACAGCAACGTTACTCAAAGTAATGACATGAACTAAAAGCTATACTTGATATACTGTCTTTATTTAGTATGAGCAGAGATCTCCAGAGACTATCTTGCCAGAAAATATTATTTTTATATTTCTTTTGCAGATAGAAATTACAGTTGAGAAAAAAAATCCTCCAAAACCCCTCAAACAAATCAGCTTTGTATTGTCAAAGCATAAATTGAATTCAAATATATAAAGTGCTAATTACAAATATCAGCTAAAAGAAAATGTTGACTATCAGCAAATGTTAACAAAGCTACAGATTATTTTTTCAATTAAAATAATAAACAAAGCAGCATTATGATCCATCTCATAATTAGTTTTAAACGTGGCAGTGGCATTTCTTTTTATAATTAATTTTCAGAGACAATGCATTTTATCCACGAAGTTATAAACTCAAAACTCGGATTCAGCAAAAGGATTCTGCTTTCTATTTGGGGGCAAGGGAAGGACACAGTAACCAAGTCTTGAAATATCTTTTTAATATTTTCCTTTTTTACTTTGATTTGAGTTATCTGCACAGTGAGAAGTGTGTTCATTTATATTGCTATTTCACCACTTCACTTCTTTCAGCATTGAAATAGCTAGAAAATAAAGTGTCACATTTGCTTAATGAACTGCAACTCATGCAAGACATTTCAATCTGGTTTTTGTATTAGGGTATGGCTGAATAGAAATGGGTTAACTGTCAACATTTTTACTGTCAACTTAAATATCTGCACACACACACAACTCTCCCTTTCCAATACTTTTCAGATTATCATTAGTAACTATTCCACATTGACTTTTTCTACTAGGGAAAACATAGGCTTATCACAAAGTCTTCTGTCTTAGGTGAGGACCACTGCTCAATTTCACTTTTATACCAAAAAAAAGATGACAGTTGAAATAAATAAATCTTTCAACTCAAAATGATCTGCCACTTATCTGACCTTTTGTCCCTTTCATATATTCAACAGTAAATCATAAGTTTGCATATTATGATTGAGTAAACACCCTACAAGCCAAATCATACCTTTGGTAATTTCTCTTCAAATAGATTTTTATAATTTTTTATTCCTGATGCACATGGTAAACATAATTCAACTATTATTTAAATATAAGACTTCTGAATGAATTGATGAAATAATTAAAAAGGAAAGACGTTGTTAAATTTCCTATAGCAGAGATTTTATGGAAACTCCTGAGAATAAAAACGAAACATTCCCAACAAACAACAGGAACAGAAGATTAAAAACTAGCCTGCCGTAAGCAGCCCCATTCAGAAAGCAGATCTTGCTGCCAGTGAGCTGTTGTTCATTAAAATAATTTTTACAAAATGAATATGAGTAAAGGCTTTTGCAGAACTACAGAATTTGTATCAACCATTAGATTTTAAGTCCAAATAAAGAACTGCCAATCTTACAGGCACTAGAATTAGCCAGTAGAACAATCTCAGAAGACCAACCTGAACTGAAGTGATGAATTAAAGGCTCTGAATAGAAAAGTAACAAAGACCGCAAAAGGCGTACAAAATTCTGAAGAACCAACATAGAGGTTGCATAAACCAAAATCTTTTGAGAAAATCTTAGAACTGCACATGAACAAATAGAGCAGTTGCTCTACCTCTCACAGTTATCTTCAGCTTAGCATTCACTTCCAAGTTTTAATTTTCCTGCTACTGTGTTCACAAATGAATTATGAGCAGTAATTCTTTATGTAGAGTGTTTCCCAGAATCATGATAACTTAAAATGTTTTATCTGTGTGGGTTTTTTTAATTATTTTTTAGTAGGCTCACACAAATGTTAGGCAAGAACTGTTGGAGATGGCATGCCTATATAGGCATATAGTTTTCAAAGAAGATGGGGAAAATATCTTTTGGGGGAATTTTTCAAAGAAGCCGCAAATGCCTGCCATTAGGAATAACAACCACTAGCAACGGTGGTCAATTTTAACATTTAGTTATGACCATTGCTTACAGGACCCAGTCACAGTAACAAACTTTGTTCTCATCTACGCAAGAACAGGTAAGTACTCTGCTAAGGTATACAAAATTTTTCTACTACAACACACTTATAGCTCACCACAGATTCCATAAAAACATCATCCTGTAGGGCTATAACTATGCAGAACCTTACTATGCAGGTTCTTATACTGCACTGATAAATGCAGTATGCAAGTCCTTTCTAGTAAAGCATAATATGAATATTCTCTGTCATTTCTTTAGCCCCATGCCCTGTGCATGAGCACACAGTATTTTAATATGTGATTACGTAGCTTTCTGTAACGTGAAAGGTAGAAAAGTACCTTTTACTGAGACTGGATAGTTTTGATATTCTGAGCATCAGCACTACTCCAGAAATAAGCCTGCACACTGCTATACTGTAAGCAGAGCAGTAGTAGTATGAATTAACATGTAGTTTCACCATCTGTCCTTAACACTGGATGTCAACATGCTTGCCTTTATTATGTCAGAATTGTGAAAATACATACAATGGCACACACAAATACTTTCAAACATTTGATCTGTAAGTTTTAATTCATATTCTTGTTTATATTGGTCATTATCTATCATTCTTTCTAGAAAGAAACTGTAGAATAAGCTCAAGGCTATAATGAACAAATCCAGAGGCCTCTGCATGAGGAAAATATTGTGGATGTTCAACAGTAAAGCCTGTTTGTTATGGGAAGTTTCCAAAATGAAATTATCTTACCAAAGCTGGATCAAGATCCACAAACATTTCACGACCATATGTCATTGCATCCCTGGAGCACAATAGAGATATTTTCATATTTAACATACCTATATGAAAGTACTACTTCCTCTTTGCTTTGAAATCATTATTTAGAATAGCTGCTAAATAAGCAGTAAATATTTAATTTACGTTATCTTTCTCTGTGAAGTTCACAATATTGTTTTTCAAAGCATTGATTAAATCAACAAGAAAAATCACATTTCCTCTGTAATTTCATTCTTTATTTAGGTTACTCTCTTAACAGACATTTCTTCGTACTTTTCCCACTTTCTATTAAGTAACCCTCTTACTATTTCAGCATCCTTAGGAAAGGAAAAAGAAAGCCAAATCTTATTATAAAAAACACCTGATGCCTGTGGCTATGCGAGCATCGGTCCTCTAAAGGCTACCTCCTGTGCTCCTCCTGTGCAATGACCAATGATGCTGGAGTTAGTAGTTTTGTTGTTAGCATAAGAAAGTCTGATTGAAGATACCACAGCCAAAACCAAGGAGAGGTAAAAAGACTGAAAAAGCTAAAATACAGCCTGGGAATAACTGAAATATATATTCTCCATTGAAAAAATGCGTGTTAAGTATTTCAGA